TCCCCCTCCCCCTACATATCGGGTGCTTTGCCAAGGTAGGTACGAAAATGTATCATTCGGATTTGCAGTGGGAGCCCCGCCGCAATGTGACATCCCGCTTTGGCTGGGCTCCAGGGTGCTAAGTCGGTAGCTGGGCTTCGAATGCAGAAAGGCAGTGGGAATGAAAGCGACAGGAAGAAGAAAAGCTGCAAATTGATTTCCCAACCATCCTGTGGTGTTGGTTCCTCGGTTTGAAGAGACAGCGCCCTGCATTCCTTCTTTCCTTCCCGCTGCCCCTTCCGGTCCCCCTCTTCCCTCCTCCCATTCCTGCTTCTGCTCGCCGCATGTCCACCATGTCGGCACACCCCTCACGAAGATCGCGGCCCCATAGGGAGCTCCACCAACGGCCCCAGCGGCAGGTTTTGAATGCGTCCCCCCCCCATTTCGGCACACCCCTCACGAGGATCGTGGCCCCATAAGGGGCTCCACCGAAGGCCCCAGCGGCAGGGTTTGCATGCGTCCCCCCGCCCAGTTCTGCACACCCCTCACGAGGATCGTGGCCCCATAGGGAGCTCCACCGAAGGCCCCAGCGGCAGGGTTTGCACGCGTCCCCCCACCCATTTCTGCACACCCCTCACGAGGATCGTGGCCCATTTTGGCACACCCCTCACGAGGATCGCGGCCCCATAGGGAGCTCCACCGAAGGCCCCAGCGGCAGGGTTTGCATACGCCCCCCCGCCCTTTTCGGCACACCCATCACGAGGATCGCGGCCCCAAGGGCAGTTCCACCGAAGGCCCCAGCGGCAGGGTTTGCATGCGTCCCCCCGCTCATTTTGGCACACCCCTCCCGAGGATCGTGGCCCCATAGGGAGCTCCACCGAAGGCCCCAGCGGCAGGGTTTGCACGCGTCCCCCCACCCATTTCTGCACACCCCTCACGAAGACCACGGCCAACCCCCCAGCAGCCCTCGAAATTGGAGACTGGTTCGAAGATCGCAGCACCCCAGGGATGGCGAGGTCTAATCTGAGTCTGGGTGGGACCCCACTCCGCTGCCCCCCCCCAACAGCCCTCGAAAGCTGCGACAGTGTCGCAAATCCCAGCCCTCCAGGGATGGCGAGGTCGAATATGTATCTGCGTTGGACGTCACTCGCTGAACACCCCAACAGCCCTCGAAATTGGAAACTGTTTCACAGATCACAACACGCGCGAGGTCTACTCTGAGCATGGGTGGAACCCCATTCCGCTGGACCCCCCCAGCAGCCCTCGAAAGTGGTGAAAGGTTCGCAGATCGCAGCCCCCCAGGGATGGCGAGGTCTGATCTGAGTCTGGGTGGTTCCGCACTCCGCTGGCCCCCCCAACAACCCTCGAAAGTGGCGACAGTTTTGCAGATCGCAGCCCCCAAGGGATGGCGAGGTCTAATCTTGGTCTGCGGCGGGTGCCCACTATGCTGGCCCCCCAGCAGCCCTCGAAAGTTATCAGTTTCGCAAATCACAGCCCCCCCCCCCGAGGGATGGCGAGGTCGAATCTGAATGTGCGGCGGGTACCCAGTATGCTGGTCCCCCCAGCAGCCTCCGAAAGTGGCGACAGTTTTGCAGATCGCACCCCCCAGGGATGGCGAGGTCTAATCTTAGTTTGCGGCGGGTACCCACTATGCTGCCCCCCCCCAGCAGCCCTCGAAAGTTATCAGTTTCGCAGATCGCAGCCCCCCCCCAGGGATGGCGAGGTCTAATCTGAATCTGCGGCGGGTACCCACTACGCTGGTCCCACCAGCAGCCTTCGAAAGTGGCGATAGTTTCGCAGATCGCAGCTCCCAAAGCATGCCAGCTTCACACTTCGCAGGTCCCGCAGGCAAGCCACCAGGCACACAGGAGAGGAGAGGAGAAGGGAGGCGGGGAGGAGGAAGGAGAACGGAGACCACAGTGCCAGATTCAAAACGAGAACCCAACGCAGGAGGGTTGGGAAGAGTACCCCCCTAACACCTACGAAGAAAAACCTTAGAGGAGGGGCTCTGGGGGGAACACCCTCCACCAAAACCCCCCCTGAGGGGAGGGTCTGGGAAAGCTCCAGAACATTACCCCGGCGACGTACCCGATCCCTGCGCAATGCGGGACCTCTTGGGGGCCTCTTGGGCCGTATCGGAGGCCTCTGGGGGGCCTCTGGGGCCGTCTTGGGCCATCTTGATGCCATCTTAGGCCATCTTGGGTGCATCTTGGCTCATCTTGGAGGCATCTTGGAGCCATCTGAGCTGTCTTGGAACCAATCTTGGCCGTCTTGGATGCATCTTGGAAACCATCTTGGGCCGTCTTGGAGCCGTCTGGAGCAGGAAAAACCTTTGCAACCGGGTTTTCGGCAATCTCCCAGGACCCCGGCGGGACGGGCCGAAGCCCCAGGGGGAGTTCTTGGGGAAAAAGAACCAAAACCAAAACCCATATCGTCTGGCACGCCAGGCACCCCTGCGATGAATCGACAAGGGGCGGCGGATCGAAGACGCCTACGGCGAATCACCGCCGCCCCCTGCCTTTGCGGAAGCGCCTATGTGGCCGAACGTTGAGGCCAGACCTGCCAAGCTATCGGACCATGTGTTCCCCGAATCGGTTTGGAAAGCCTTCGGGGAACACGTGGGCATCTAGAAGGTCATCTTGGCCGCCTGGAGGCCATTTTGACCCGTTCGGGCCTTCTTGGAGGACGTCTTGGAGGGCTCGTGGGCCGTCTTGGACGCCATCTTGAGCGTCTTGGAGGCCTCTTGGGCCGTCTTGGAGGCCTCTTGGGGCAGTCTTGGGCGCCTCTTGGGCCATTCTGGGGCCATCTTGGAGGCCTCTTGGGCGATCCTTGGGCGATATGTGGGAGCTCTTGGGCCGTATCGGGCCGTCGGAAGGCCGCAACGAAGCAAATGTCAAAATCCGTCAAACATCTGCGGGAAATCACTCTTTTTGGCATTTTCTGGCCTTCCTGGAGGCCCTCTTGGAGGCCTCTTGGGCCGTCTTGGGCAAGCTGCGAGCCACCTTCGGCCATCTTGGTGAGCTCCTGGCCCGTCTGACGCCGTCGGAAGCCGTTTCGGGTGCCTTTCTGGGCCGACTTGGGGCCACCCTGGGGTGCTCCAGGGCCGTCTTGGAGGCCATCGTGGGCGTCTTCGAGGCCTCTTGGGCCCTCTTGGGGCCGTCTTGCCATTTTGGAGGCCTCTTGGGCGATCTTGGGGCGACCTTGGGGGTCTCTGGGGCCGTCACGGGCTGTCGGAAAGCCGAAAAGGCGCAAATGCCAAAATCCTTCAGAAACTTTAGGAAAATCAATGATTTTGGCCTCGTCGGGCCTTCCTGGAGGACCTCTTGGAGGCCTCTGGGGCCGTTTTGGAGGCCTCTTGCGGGCCTCTTGGGCCGTCTTAGACCATATTGGGGCCATGTTGGGCCGTCTTGGATGCATCTTGGGGCCATCTTAGCCGTCTTGGAGGCCATCTTGGCTGTCTTGGAGGCATCTTGCAGGCCATCTTGGGCCATGTTCGCGATTTGTTGAGGATGTCCCGGGCGAAACGGCCGTTTGGGGCATCGGCGGACGCAGTTTACGGGTGGCCGGCGGGACTCGCCGGAGCCCCAGGAGGAGTTCTTTTGGAAAAAACAAAACCAAAAGCGATAGGATCTGGCACGCCAGGCACCCCTTTGCTAAAGCAAATGGGGGCGGCGGATCTAATGGACTTCGGCCAATCCCGCCACGTGCCCGGGTTGTGGGTTAGAGGCATCTTAAATGTTTGTTGGATATCGTGGGAGGCCTCTCGGGGGAGGCCTCCAAGACGGCACCAGAAACCTCCAAGATGTCATCCAGGAGTGCCCGAAGAGGCCAAAATCATTGATGTCCCTTAGGTGTTTGAAGAAGTTTGGCGTTTGCTTCTTTTCGGCCTTCCGACGGCCCGAGACGGCCCAGGAGCCCCCAAAGATCGCCACAAGATCGCCCAAGAGGCTTCCAAGATGGCCCCAGAATGGCCCAAGAGGCCCCCGAGACCGCACCAGGAGGGCCCCAAGACGGCCCAAGAGGCCCCCAAGACCGCACCAGAAGGGCACCCAGACGGCCCAAAGGGCATCCAAGACGCCCAAGATGGCCTCGGGCACCCCAGGAAGGCCCCCATTCGGCCCAAAGAAGCCCCCAAGACAGCTTCCGACGGCGTCAGACGGGCCAGGAGCCCACCAAAACAGCCCAAGACGGCCCAAGAGGCCCCCAAAAGGTCTCCGAAACGTCCCAAGAGGCCTCCAAGAGGGCCTCCAGGAAGCCCCCAAGAGGCCAAGTGTTTTCAGGAGTTTGGCAATTGTTTCTGTTCGGCCTTCCGACGGCCCGAGACGGCCCAAGAGCCCAGAAAGATCGCCACAAGAGGGCCGCAGATGGCCCAAGAGGCCTCCAAGACGCCCAGGATGGCATCCCAAACAGCCCTGGAGCACCCCAGGAAGACCCCCAGTTGGCCCAGAGAGGACCCCAAGACAGCTTCCGACGGCGATAGACGAGCGATGAGACCACCAAGACGGGCCAAGAAGTTTGAAAGGGGCTGGGAGGCCAAACCAGCAGCTTCGCCTTAGGCGAAGCCAAGCTCCAGCTCTGTTGTACCGTAGTAGCGATAGCCCCAGTAGTGGGAGGCGAGCCATCTCAAGCAGCGTTGGTATCGATGGCAAAAAGTACAC